AGATCTGTGCCAGTCTTCCCCTCTTTTGTATGTGGGTTACCACCACAGCATGGCCACCAACGAGTGGTGTAGGTCCACACCTGGGCTCTGAACCCACGAGTCTCGGGCTGCCAAAGCAGACAGTGTGAACTTAACCACTACGCCACCAGGCCAGCCCCTAAGATTTATTTTCTTACTTAAGTTTTTTGTACTCCCGGTTCTGACTGGTTCCCAGTGATGATTCATTCTGTAGCAAACATTGAGTGCCTGATACTGGCCAGCATGGAGGGGTGAACATAGCAGGAAAGGATGGGCTCCTTCAAGGAACTTGGTCTGGCCTGGCTCACCCATGTCATTGTCCCATGTCAGCGTTTGAAATGTCCTTTGATGTCATGGGACCAGCTCTGTAGTCAGTGAAGACCAGTGAGTGGTTCTCAGTGGGGGGTGGTTCTGGTGAGGTCTAGAGACATTTTTGGTTGTCACGACTGAGGGCTTGTTGACTGCAGGCCTCTGGTGGGCAGAGGCCGGGGCTGCTGAGCCTTCTACAAGGCACAGGATGGCCCCACAGCAAAGAACTGTCCAGCCCGAAATGTGGGTTGTGCCCAGGCTAGGAAATCCTGATGTGAACACACCAAAGAATTCTAAGCTTTGTACCTTCGTAAAGCCGTATGAATGTTTGAAATAGAGATTTCTAAGTATACTAGGAAGAAAAAATAATCAGAAATACAGCTTAGTTTTCTAAATTAAAATACACACCCTGTCTCTCACATATTCCTTGACTTGCATGGCTCTTCATTTTGTTTTATACAATGGAAAGAAACTAATTAACACGTTACACATTCCAGCCTTAGTAAGTGATCGACCATAGGAATAAATGCCAGATTCCATGTAATATGAAGAGAAGATTCTTTATTATTTTTTATTGAGATATAAGGATGTATAATATTGTATTAGTTTCAGGAATATAACATAATGATTTATATGCATATATTGTGAAATGATCACCACAGTAAGTCAACATCTGTCACCACACAGTTGGAAATTTTTTTTCTCATAAGAACTTTTAAGATCTACTCTCTTAGCAACTTTCAAATATACAAGACTGCAAGACTGTAGTCACCATGCCCTGCATTGCGTCCCAGGACTTATTTATTTTATAACTGGAGGTGTGTACCTTTTGACCCCCTTCACCCATTTTGCCCACCTCCCACCCTGAAGAGGAGACACTTCGGAATTTGAAAAATTAGCTTTATTTTCCACTGGATTTATAGGCAAAATTTTCTAAATAGAACAATTAGACATAAATGATCAGAGTTCAAGTAAAAATATTCTAAAATTCTCCAAATGTCTCTGTCTAGCTGGGATTGTTTATTTCATTTTTTACTGATGTGTATGTTTTCTCTAGAAAGTAAGACCTGTGATGACCTAGCCTGTTATCCAGCTCTTAGGACGTTACCTGGGTATAGCAGGTGTTCAGAATATATTTGATGCGGACAAATAAGTCACTTCCACTCACCAGTTACTCGAGCCCTTGTTCGAGGCAGTGTGATGGCAGAAGGATGTAGAAAGTTTAACTGTTCAAACCCATAGTCGAGTCACTTCCATGGATAAGTAGTTTCGGCTTGGCCACCTGGCACAGAGCCTTGATCTTTGAATAAGCCCTTTATGCTTCTTAGCTTAGGAGCTGTATTGAAGTACACGGGTGACTGCTTAGGGAAATCGGCCGAATTTAGCCACCTTTTCTCCCTCCTTATACCTGGTTCTATCAAATATCGTTTCTAGGCATCTTAGGGCCAGTTTAGGGTTGAACTGGTCCTAAATTATCTCTAAATTATCTGCAAAGGTGATGGTAAATCTACAGTCGTTAAGGATCTGTGATCTCTTTGTGCCCTAGTCACTTGGCATTTCTCACTTGTCTCTGGAATAAATTAAATTCTTTGGAAAGACTGAACCTACCATGTTGTTCGCATTTTGCACTTAGTGTAGCTAAGTGTGCTGGAGGGTTGAGTTTTCAGAGTTCTGGAGTTCATTGTTCGTCTCTACGAGCAGAGTGCCAGCCAGTCCCAGTGGGGAGGGCCTCTCTGTGCTGCCTGGCTGTGCTCTGTGGTTTTCAATCTCCTGCACCTATGTGAGCCATAAAATATTTCAGTAAAGAGTTTGCAAGTTTCACCATCTTGAAATAAATTGTATCGATCTGAGATTCATTTTCCTAAATCCTGAAACTTAAATTTTGATGTACTGTATTTTAGAATTAGATTTTTAACAAGAAGAATATTGCTAGGAGTTAGCTGAGTCATTAGGAGATTAATATAGTAGGCTAAATAGACAGTGAATACAATATTGGTGTTTTTTTCACTCTTCTATCTTTTTATTTTTAAAGTTTATAAAGTTTAATTTGCATTTCTTTTATGACATCCACTCTCTTACTTAACTTTGTCTTAGCAGAGAAAGAAACAGCCTTACTATTGAATAAGCATTGAACCAGACTGTAATTTCATCACAGGCAGTCTGCTAAAGAGATGGCAAAGAAAAAAAGAAATCTCACCCTTTTATATAGCCTGGCAGATACAATCCATTACATGCATGCTAAGGTCATTACCAAAGGGAAAAATAAAACTTCTGTCTTTTGACAAGTAGGAGGTTACATCTTGGAGCCAGGTGCCTAGGATTCCTGAGGAGAGGGGAGATGGGGCACCACCCTCTTTTTATTATTATACATTTTTATTTTTTAAATTGTGGTAAACTATACATAAAAATTTTTATCATTTTAACCATTTTTAAGTGTATAGCTCTCTATGGCATTAAGTACATTCACAGTGTTGTGCAAACATCACCACTATCCATCTCCAGAACTTTCTCATCCTCCCAAACTGAAACTCTGTCCCATTAAACATTCATCTCCCCCAGCCCCCAGTACCCATCATCCTACTTTCTGTCTCTATGGGTTTGACTCCTCTAGGTCCCTCATATGAGTGGAATCACACAGTATTTGTCCTTTTGTGACTGGCTTATTTCACTGAGCATAATGTCCTCAAGGTTCATCCATGTTGTAGCATGTATCAGAATTTTCTTCCTTTTCAAGGCTGGATAATATTCCATTGTATGGATGGACCACATTTTACTTATTCATTCATCCACTGATGGATACTTGGGTTGCTTCCACCTTTTGGCTATTGTGAGCAATATTGCTATGAAAATGGGGGTGCAAATATCTGTTTTGAGTCCCTGCTTTCAATTCTTTTAGGCATATACCTGGAAGTGGAATTGCTAGGTCATATAGTAAATCTGTGCTTAACTTTCTGAGGAACTTCTGCTCTGTTGTCCACGGCAGCTGCACCATTTTCCATTCCCACCAGCAGTGTACAAAGGTTCCAATTTCTCCACATCCTCGCCAACACCTAGCTTATTTCTGTTTGGTTTTTTTTTGATAGCCATCCTAATGGATGTGAAATGGTATGTCATTTGTGGTTTTGATTTACATTTCCCTTATGATTAATGAAGTTGAGAATCTTGGCACATGCCACTCCCTTATTTTAAAAGAAATTATTTTTCTTTGCTTTTAAGAGCACTACAGCCAATTCTTACAGAATAAACGAGATGCGTAAGGTAAGACACTTACTCAGCTCTGAGTTCAGATTTCCTGAGGGGGAGAGATTTCCTTTCAGAGACATTGCTAATGTGTGTCGTAACATTTAAACTGCCCTTTTAAAGTAAGCAATGACAATAAAAATCTTCCACCAAATTGGAGTTGACTTTTATGTTCATTCTTCTGCTGGACTTGAGTAGGTAGTAAGTAGCCTGGGTGAGTTTTACCCTCCTAATTCCTAGTGACTAGTTCAGCTGGATAAAAGTCAAAGCCTGATTTTTTTGAAACAAGAATTTAGGTCGACTCATATCCCCTTGTGCTCAGGTTGACATATCTTTTAAATCTGGCAGCTGGCTGGACAGTGTGTCACATTACTCTCTGAGATGGTGTAAAATTATTCTAAAGAATAACCACATAGAGTATTTTTTTCTTTGTGTCAGAGAATCTATTTATGACAACTCATCGTGTTTCATGTCCTACATGAAAAGTATGAAGAAGCAGATCTTTTGTCGCATAGCTCACTTAAAGAGTATCTGACACGTGTTCAGCGCTTATGATTTATGAATGGTTCAGAGCTGTACGTAGCAACTCCTTGGAGCGTCACAGCTGCCCTGTGAGGTAGGGTACTATTATTTCTGCAGAAGAAATGGAGACACAGAAAGCATAAAGTCGGCAGCGATGCTAGAGGCAGACCTCACCGTACAGGTGCTTCTTCACTGGCGATTAGGAGTAAGGAAGGCTGTCTTACGAGACTGTCCCCATAGCTGCTTTCCGCATTAGTAGTTACCCTTGCAAAGCAAGTTTGGGAAGTTTTTAGTCATTATTCTTGGTAAAAATACTGAGTTTTGATGTATCTGCCTTTTTAATGATGACACTTAAAACTACTGAGACAAAAAGATTTACCTAGGCTTCTGTGGCAATATGTAGTAGCATGAAATTATTCCCAACTAAGTATAAAATACTTCATTAGGACCAAAAATGAGACATTTTGCCAGCTACCAAAGCTCTTCCACACTGACTGCATCCCCTGCATGTCTTGAGGATGGATGGGTGGAGAGCTGAGGGGAGGTGTTTCATGGTTCCCGGTCTGGATGTGGCTCCCACACATGTGGCAGGAGCAGAGTCACCTGCTCCATGCTCCCATGCAGGACTCTTGGATCTCACTCCCCTGACTGGAAGCTGCATTTTGACGGGGGGTGATGGCAGCACCGCAAACGTCAGTCAAGGCCTGGTGCCTTTATTGAGCGGTGGGTGGTCCCTGCTTACCAGCATGGGGTTTTCCTAAGGATGCTAAGTGTAATTCCAAGTCTGGCTTGCTCTGGGTGGGAGGCTCCACCCCTTCTGTTATCCCCTGGAAGTATGTGGGTCTCTGGGCTCAGTTCTTCAGCTTGCCTTATACTTTTTGGGAGTTCAAATTGAAATAATCTTCCCAACATTGTATTTAATCGTTTTTACTCACTTCTAAAATTAGAATTAAGAACTAGACATACCAGTGTCTTTGTACAGTGCCTAGTCTGACCCAGGAGCTCGAAGGCCCAGGAGTTGGTGAGAGTAGATTAGAAAAATGGAACCGAGGGACCAAAGGCCTTCTAATCAGAAGACAGGACACCCTCAGAGGAGGACCACGGCTGACGCCCTTTCAGACCCGCTTCCCGTAAGCATAACCTCTGGCATTTAATTTTTATTTTTCATCAAATAACTGCCTCTCAAGTCCTATTTTGATGCAACCCAGACCTCCTTCCTGTCCCCCCCAAACCTTGCATGGAGTTACCCGCTCCAGCCCTCCGCTCCGACTCTCAGGCTCCTGGCCGTGAGTCTGGAGGACTTGTTTGCTGGGCCTCTCACAGATGTTCTTGGTTGTTGGGCTTGCTTCATTCATTGTTAGGTTTATAGTTAACCCAGTCCCATCTGTGCTGGGCTTTCCTGCTGCCCTCTGCTGACTGTCTGGGGAGAGCTGTTTTTTCATGTCACAGGCTCCTGGAGACTTTGCAGTTCGGACCTGTCAGTGCTTCATTTGCCTGATGAAGTAGCTTAGAATAGTCTTTTTGCTGGAGGCTTGTCGACTGTTGAATTCTTTATTTTTAAAATAATCTTCTTACTTTGGAATAATTTTAGGTTTTTAGAAAAGTTGCAGAGATGGTACAGAAAGTTCCCAAATATTCTTCACTCGCTTCCATGTGTGTTAACATCCTCTGAGCTGGTACAATTATCAAAACTAAGACATTGGCATTGGTACAGTACCATTCACTGCATTATATGCTTCATTCATCTGTTTCTCATCAGTGTCCTCTTCAGCTCCAGAACCCAATCCAGGGTACCCGCTCACCCTAAGGCATCTCGTTTCCCTAGTCCCCTGTGGTCTGGGACAGCTCCTCAGCCTCTGCTTGTCTCTGGTGACCTCGACACTTTTGGAGTCCTGATCAGGTATTTTGTAGGCTTGCCTCCAATTTGGGCTCTCTGATGTGTTCTCGTGATTTGGGGAGAACACCCCAGAGGTACAGTGCCCATCTTGTCATACTGTCCCATGGTGGTGTCTGCTGGGCGTCTGCTCTGTGACGTGACTGCTGTCCCCTTTGTTGTTTGGTTCTCTGGAAGTGGTCTTTTAGTCAAGCGATGTGGTGGGAACAAACTCCACCTATTGGGGAGGGATTTTACATTATTGTTTCAATTCTTCTGTGGGGAGGATTTGCCTCTTCCCCCTTTATTTTATCCCATCATTTGTTTATATCAGTGTAGACTTATGTATTCACTTTGTACGTTGGGTTATAGCTCAGTAGTACATTATTTTGTTGCACAAATTCTTCCAGCTTTGGCCATCAGGTGGGCGTCCTTGTCCCTCTGACACGCCTTGTCCTGCCTTTTGTGAGCACTGCCTTCCTTGCTGGCGCCACGAGATAGCTGTTGTGGGCTCATCTTGGATTGGCCCCCCCCAACCCCGTTTTCCTCAGTGGCCCCAGTTTTGTGTAGTGGAGAGCAGTATTTAGAAGCCAGATTGGGGTGTGGAAGTTCTTGCCCCTGGGGTGTCGTTGCTTCTAGGCCCTTGGCTGACTGCTGGAGAAGGATGTGTGTAGGCTAACCTACCTGTGCACACTTACCTCTAGTGGCTGCTGTGTTGTCCCCTACATGCCAATTCTTGCAGACGTCTCTATGGCCAACTCAGCACCACAGGTCAGGCTGGCCGCCTCCCTTTGTGAATTTGTAACCCCGTCCAATGACGAGATGCCCGGCTCATCGGTTTACTCCAGCCTTACACGTGTGACGTGGTTCAGTGTTGTCCCCCCGCACCCCTGTACCCTTGTGAGACACAGATTACCGAGGAGAGTTCAGCGTCTGTCCTCAGATGGCACTGCTTCTACTCCAAACCCTGTTTTCCAGAGTTACGTAGGGCAGCTCCCCTGCCCGCTCAGTGGGGTCGTTCCAGACATTTTATCATACAGCACAATACGCCGTCAGTCTGCATTCTGTCCTGGCACTCCGACATCCTTGGCACACTCTGAAGTTCATTCTCTGTATGGGATGTCCCATCCTGTGGGTCTGGACAGTGTGTGGTCGTGTTGGGCCCACTGTCAGCTCGTCCCTCCTCCGCAGACGGGGTCTGTGCTGGCTGCTGCACGCTTCCGTCCTTTGCCTCTTGGAAAGGACCGCGTCTCTGTCCCTGTGGCTTTAATTAATGCCATGTTGCTTTTCCTCAGATAAAGGCAGAGTGGGTTTTAACAGTGGGGAAGCATACGAGCATCTTAGAAGGTGAAGGAATCGTCGAGATCCGTTACTTGTACGTTCCTAGCTGGGCCGGCTGGGCGTCGGGCCAGAAGTGGAACCTGGACATTTGGGTTCTCCGGGTGGCCGTCCCTCAGGGCGCCCGCGACAGGAAGCGAGCCAGAGGCGGGGCGCAGAGGTCTGCGCCTGGGCGCCGTTCCTTTCCCTGTCGTTCTAGGAGCTCGTCTAGCGGGCTGCATTCGGTCGGCTTGGGCGTGCCGGGGGCAGTCAGGTGGTGTTAATCATTTGCAAATTAGCGTGGTGGTGAATTAATGCTTCGTCCACTCTGCTGTGAGTGGACCGCATCTGAGCCGGCGCTCTGCGGGTCGAGGCGTGGGAGGGGCGGCTGCGGAGCTCCACCTTCCGCCCCGAGGCAGAGGAGCGCGGTCCGCCGGACGGCCAGAGCTCATTCCCCTCTCCAGGCGGTGTCGGGACTCTCCGGCGCCCCCGCGACGGGCCCCAGCGTTTCCATCCTCTCGGTGCTTGCCGGGTGCCGGGTGCCAGGCCAGACCGCCGGCGGATGCGGACGCCGCGCCTCGTCGTCTGGGCGGGCGGGCCAGGGAGCAGCGCTGTCCCCGGGCCGCGGCGCGTGGCCGGTAGCGCTGCGGGAGCTTTTTATGGGACGACTTCTTTTAACAAGGGTTTGAAGCGTAATCGCACCACCCTGGCGCAGTGCTGCCTTTGGCCTTTTCCCTTCCGGTCTCCTGCGCAGACCCGCTGCCACGTGGCCGCAGGGGCGGGGGTAGCATTCCAGAACGCCGTCCGTTCTGTCGCTTCCCCAGCGCCTGACAGTTCGCTTACCTCTTCCCACACGAGTCTCCCGACCCTGTTCCTGCTCCCAGCGTTTGACCCGGTGCGTTGGTTTCTTAGGCTCCGTTTCCTGGAGTGGGGTCACTGGGTCAGAGAGGCCGAGCGTCTCCCAGCTCTGGAGGCGGCGCCCGCCCGCCCGGGTGCCCGCCACGCTGACTTCCGCCGCCCTGAGGCACCGAGTCTGCCGCGCTGACTCCCGCCCGCCCGCCGGTCCCCACTGCCCTGAGTCCGCTGGCCGCCCGCGCCACCCGCGGGGCCGGCCCTTCTCTCCCGCTGCGCGGCGGGCAGTGAGGGCGTCGGGCGGTGAGGCCGCCGAGAGCGCGGGGGAAGACGAGCCGCGTCATCTCCGGCCGCCGAGCGGGGAGCGGACGGGCCAGGCTGGACGGCGCGCAGCCGCAGTGTCCGGAAGAGCGGCTGCAACGCGGCCGCCGGCGGCGGGGCTCGGCGCGCGCCGGTCTGTTGCGGGAGCGGCCGCCGCCTTCCGGAAGTCCCGGGGCCGGGGCTCCGCCCGTGGCGGGGGGGGGGAGCCCGCGCGCATGCGTGCTGCTCGGTGCGGGCTCTGAGGCGGGCGGGGCCTGGCGGGCCGGGGTCCGCGGAGTGTGTGGAGCGCGCGGAGCCGGCCGCGAGGGCGCTCTCCTCGTCTAGGGAACGGAGCGTTAATGGACACGCTGGGTGTTCTTTCTTGTAAAGTAAAATATTTTAATGAAAATGTTTATCAGGAGGATGCAGAGAATGGTTTTCCGTTAGGATTTGCTTTTGCCTGCGCGGACAGGGCCGGGCTTCGTGTGTCCCTCAGCGCGCGGCCTCCCCGCGGCGGCCCGGCCCCCGCACGGTCCGCCCCCCCCGGCTCCCGGCCCCGGCCCCCGGCAGGGCGCCTTCGCTGGGCTGCTTTCCTCGGAGTGAGCTTTCCTTGTAGTTCACTTCGCAGCAGAGTTTGGAGACCCCGTCTCTGTGAGTCAGCGAGAAATGCGAGCAGCCCTGCGCTGACCTCCCGTGGGTGACCCTTGACCGCGCCAGCTTGGTTTCCCGCGTAATTTAGCTTTAGTTGAACGTGGCCACCATTGGGCAGCGCCGTTCTGGGAATTTCCGTTGCAGGGCGCGCGGTTTCGGCTTTAGGGCTCTGTGGAGGCTTAGTTCCAGGTGGTTGAATCACCTGCTTGAGTTTAAAATTCTGTTTTCTAAAATGCCTTACATTGTGGAAACAAAACGTCCCAGATTGTCGTTGGACGAATGAGTTTGGGAAACAGCAGGAGAGGAATCGACTGTCTTTGATTTTATTCATTTTAGGGAAACGTGTGTCGGTATCTTCTGGTATATTTCTAGCAGTAGAGAGTCTCTGGCCCCCCCAAAGTCAGGGATGCCTGAGGTAGATGGGGTGACCGTTGGCAGAGGCAGGGCGGGAAGCAGCAGCTTTGGCTTGTGGTCATCCCTGAGAAGGCAGTGGATTTGGGCAGGCCTCGTCTCCAGGGTGGTCCTGAACCTGGGGCGCCCACCGGGCCTGGGCCTTTGCACACAATGAGCATGTGACCACTGTTTTGGGGGGAAGATGTGTTCGTCTTTATTATTATCCCCTGTGCTGAATGCGCCAGGGTGTATAAAAAGTAGACACGTAGGTGATGGATACTACTTAGCTTTTATTAAGAGAAAATTTTTATGATTATTTCACCTATTTGATACATTTGATCTCCTTGAAGAAATTACTTTGGCTTCACTGAGGGTGGCTGACGTCTGTCTGTTTCTTCCTTCACTCTTCTTCATTTGGCTTTTCAGTCTTTTTTCCCTTTTCTCTCTTTTCCTTCAAAAATACTGTCCCAAAGTTCAGCTGGCATCATATATTTTTAAGTTGGGTGATCTTTGCACTTGACAGGAAATTGAGAGTGAATTTGCAGTCTGGGTGGGATCATAGCTACTGGCCGGGAGATGGTGTCCCGCGGGCTTTCTTGTTTGAGCAGTGTTCTGCAGGCTTCCTGATGGCCCTTTTGCCTGTCTGGCTCTCTCGGCTGTTTTCGTATCTGGAGCATGCAGGATCTGTGTAGACGGGTCTGCGCGTTGAGTACGTGCTGCCGCGGAGCCAGTCTGTGACGAGCTTTCTTCTCACTTGCACAGGTTGCGCAGAGCATTGAGGACCATCATCAAGAAGTGATCGGTTTCTGCAGAGAAAACGGCTTCCACGGCTTGGTTGCATATGACTCTGATTATGCGCTGTGCAACATCCCCTACTACTTCAGTGCCCACGCCCTGAAACTGAGCCGGAACGGGAAGAGTCTCACCACGAGCCAGTACCTGATGCACGAGGTGGCCAAGCAGCTGGACCTGAACCCAAACCGCTTCCCCATCTTTGCCGCTCTGTTAGGTAGGTGGGCACCGTGAAAACGGTTTCGATTTACAGGGAGTTCTGTACCGGGAACATACTGTTCTTTTTAAATTGTAGTGCTGGGATGCTTTGCATTGTGTCTTAAGTTTAAAACAACCAGGGAACAGCTTCCTTTTCAGTGGCGTTCCTAAGTCGGTATTATTTTTTGTTGTTGCTGATAATGTGCTTTTGTTCTTAAGTGTTCATTTATGTATTGTTCATAAATACATTGGTCTGTTCAGGCCAAAAAACTAATTTTGTGAATAAATTCACTTGAAGTTTGGGGGCAATAACATCTTAAAATCACAAATCTTAATGCATTCTCACCATAAAAATTAGATGTTTAAACCTTTGGCATCTATTATGTTTATTATAGAGGAGACTACGCTGTGAAATTAGCCCTGTCATGTCTTCCCCTCACTTTTTTTTTTTTTTTTAAAGATTTTATTTTTCCTTTTTCTCCCCAAAGCCCCCCAGCACATAGTTGTATCTTCTTCGTTGTGGGTCCTTCTAGTTGTGGCATGTGGGACGCTGCCCCAGCGTGGCTTGATGAGCAGTGCCATGTCCGCGCCCAGGATTCGAACCAACGAAACACTGGGCCGCCTGCAGCGGAGCGCGCGAACTTAACCACTCGGCCACGGGGCCAGCCCCTACGTCTTCCCCTCACTTTTGCGATACACACTACTTTAAAAGAAAAACAACAAAAATAAACTATTTTCCTTGTTTCCAGTGCCTACATTTTAAGTAAAGATATAAATGTCTGTTGGGCCGGCCTGGTGGTGCAGCGGTTAAGTTTGCACCTTCCACTTCTCGCTGGCCCAGGGTTTGCCGGTTCGGATCCCGGGTGCAGACATGGCACCATTTGTCAAGCCATGCTGTGGTAGGCGTCCCACATATAAAGTAGAAGAAGATGGGCACGGATGTTAGCTCAGGGCTAGTCTTCCTCAGCAAAAAGAGGAGGATCGGCAGCAGTTAGCTCAGGGCTAATCTGCCTCAGAAAAGAAAAAAAATCTAAAAACAGTCTTGGAAGAATTCCTAATGCCAAATACTCAGAAGTGACGAAAGCTTGTTTTAACTAAGGTTTATATATTAAATTCTTTCACTTAAAAATGACTTTCCAGTAGGTGATATATTCACCTGTCACTTTATGTCTGTGTTTCATTTTTGTTTCCTTTCTTATCTCTCCTCTCCGCTCCCCTGTCTTGTGCTTGTCTTGTGCTCCTGTCTCTCAAGCTGCTTTAGTAGCCAGCTCTATTTTGCTGGGAGTTTGTAAGAACTGTGTCTACAATATGGGTAAACGTGTTCTGAGTGAGGCCCTCTCATGATTAGAACCCAGGCCCTGCACGGACGGAGTTGGGCTGTTTGGGACGCAGGCCCTTTTTGAAAGCTCTGTGTTCTCCAGCTAAGTGAGGCCTTATGGTACTCTCACAGTTTGTTTTCTGGCGAGGTTAGCATCCCATCCAGTCGTGTTTAAGAGGGGAATTATATTGTGGGTAATTTTTAGAAATTTCTAGTTATCAGATTTTTATAAACATTCCAAAAAAGTTTTACACAATTAGAAATTATAGTGAGGGAGCCACAATTTTCCATGTATTATTTGGTGATGGCATTTAAAATTGTATAAGAATCAGTTGACAGAATTCCAATTTCACAGGTTGTCTTGTTTGTTTGGATCTAATCTCAAGTATGTGTCTTTAAGTCAGTGTTGGCTGTTTTCTGTCCGTTTTTTTCGGGAACTCTTGTGAGAGGATTTGGAGAATTAAAACTAATTTTCTAAATATACTTTCATATTTTCAAAATTAAAATAAAAAAGGATATTTTCTCTGACATTAAAAGTGATTATGGGGATGGGCACGTTCTGAAAAGTTTCATAATTACTTAAATGTCATGCAGAATGATTTGGACATGTTAATTGACTTTAGATGAATAGGAAGATTGTATGCTTTTAGAATATGAATGTCTTTGCTAATTTGACATGTGGAAGGATATTTGTTTATCTTATTTAAGAGACATTGAATACATTTCTTGGCAGATAATGCCAGTGCGTACTCTTCTAGCCCAATTGTTTTGTAAAATTTAAAATAAATGAAAAACAGTAGTAACATTTTGAATAATTGAGTAATGAATTAATTTAGGGTTTGGAATTTCTTCAAAAAATTTAGACGAGTTGCAGATAAACTCTTAATTGGGTGAGCATTTTTATTTTAGATTTTGTGTAAAAGTTTCAGTATCTTCAAATGAGAAAGATTGTTTTTCTTGTCCATTTCATAATAGAATATAGCTTTCTCAGTTGTTTTGTTGTAGAAACGTTGGATGGAATATTCATTTAAGCATTTGACCCAAATTTTAACAGACTATTACTGATGGTGGAATTGGCTTAATATTTTTTGAGACAGAAGCTTCAAAAAAAGTCCCCATATTTCCTACTTCCTGACAGTAAAGTTCTGTGCAACCGTGAGCAGAGGAGAGCAGTGCAGAGCTCGGTACCTGGGCTCGGAGGACTCAGCTCTGCTCCTCTGGACATCACGGCTGTTCAGTGCTTGTGTGTTTAGAATATTATGGTTAGCAGTGTTGCAGATGATCTCACATCGTTCTGCTTTCTGTTAGCAGCTAATGAATGAATGCTCTCTTGATGTGGAGGTAATTAAATTGTGATATAAAAATCACAGATTAATTTAGGAAATTACTGCTTTTATATTGCATCGAGATAACTAATATACTAACGATGTTAGTGTATCAGGCATCCAGGCACTTCAGTGAATGGAGAGTGTCCCCCAAAATGTAGATTCTCAGCAGAATACAGTTCTTGTTGTGACACAGCCCTGCTGGCGGCACACAGCTGAATGGCACTCCTTGGTGGTGTTGCAGTCTGTGCTTTGTCACATCTATTTGTGGGTGGCGGTGGAAATTACAGGAGGAGGGTGTTGATCCATGTCACAAGCAGCAGTCAGTGTCACTTAACCTGGCTTAGGGAGATTTTATGACTGCGCAGGTTCCGTCTTTGCTGTCGAACCTCGTTCACAGAATGCAGTGTGAACCATGCTCGTCTCGTGAACAAGTGGGACTTGTATCAGAGTCGGTATTTGGCATCCCAGTA